CAAAAGTTGTGGCAACTTACCGATCCAGAACAGAAAGCAAGCACAGAACACAAAAGAAGTAGTAAGAAGCCACATAAGGCATGGTGACAACAGCATGGAACGACAAATGTCCAGCATCCAGGCTGTCAGAATAGCTGATGAGAAGAAGATGCATCAATGACAGCCCTCCCAGGACGCCGTGACAGGCTGGCGCACATGACCGCCAAGCCTTTTGGGCTGTTAAAGCGACGTCCAGAGGGGTTAGATCGCCTAATCTGAAATGACGAATAATTTTTTTTAGTATGCTTCAATTGACGTCAAATCTGGTTTAAGAGTTTGTATTTACACGGGGTGACCAATTATTTTTGAGCTTAGAATGGTGGTATTGACTTTTTATGTCACTATTAGTTCTTGAAGATTCCGTGACATGGTGAGGGTTTTGATTTAAATTGCCAGTTTCTGGAGACAAACAGGTAGTTTTTAAAATAATATGTAATTTTAAGATCGTTTTGTTATTTACTTAACAATTATCGCTAGTTGTGATTAGGCTCGTTGCGTCAGGAAAAATGTTGTTGAAATGTTGTTGGAATGTTGACAATGATAACAACTTCAAAGATCTCGATGAAGGATGGAAGGAAGGATGATGGAGGTCTAGAGGACGGATGATTATGAATGAATGCATCGGCAGCAAAACGAGGTAGGCAGATAATAATATGTTTCCTTAAAGTGTTACCCGTTGCTTGCCAGTCAACTGTTTACAGTTCTATGGCAATGGTTTTTTAAGCCATACCGTGGTAAGAAACCTGTTTTGGGACACTAACATAATAGATTTAAAAGACACATATGTGGCACCAATCCTACCATATGACTGATGCCCAATGTAACAATATACTATTTAATATGAAATGGCACCTATGATGAAATACACTTTTTTTAAAACACTTATCATGAAAATAACCATCTATGACATATAAATGTCTGTAAAATGACGGCATGGATTAATTTATTTTTCCCCAGTTGGCGCTATATATATCATATTATGTTATATGTATAATAGTATAATTTTATACACATTTACAAATTTTAATGTTTTCATTTGTCGTATATTTTTGGAAAAGTTTTAGGGGTGTGAATGATAAAGTAGTATAAATTCACTCTATTTTTTAATTTAGGCTGTCAGTTTTCCAAGGATGGTACTATTCGTATTTCTTCGCTTTTTTGAGTACAAAATGTGAACAGAATGAGTTTTCATACAGTTCACATTTTCTATATGTTTAGATTAAGGAAAAATGTAATATTGTTTACCTTAAATATTTATCCCCATCTCTAGACTGCTGAGATTCTAATATCCGGTCTCTGGAGACAGCTCTAAAAGTCCCTCCTCCTTGCAAGTATATCTTTTCCGTTCTTCTGGTCCCAAATGGGTTCAACCTCTCATCATTCGGCGATGTCAATGGAGATGGAGAGGAGAAAGGATTGTCAATATACTGATCATTGTATGGCATGCTGGTTTCTAATGTTTCTAGCATTGCTGTCAAATCTGTTGGGCGAGCTGTGAATAAACAGTAATGCGGATTTAGTTCAATGAATTCTGTAAACTCAGGTAGAATAAAGTAGTTTTAATTATCTGCAGTTTTAAATAACTAGCTCTTCCACCAATACTAGCACGAACATACTTTACACACAGGCAATAAGGCCAATGTATACAAGGCTAATGAAAGTTACTCAGTTTTTACTCTGTGTGATCGTTCCTAAAATCATAAAAAGGTTTTTTTTATTATACCAAGTGACGGGACAAACAAGCCGTGCGCCTGGTGGTAAGCGACACGCCTCCATAATAGTTGCAATGCTACTCAAAGCTTTAAATCGCAAAGCTCTGAAGGACATTGGCACTACGTATGTCACCCTGAGACAAATTGACAAGTACCATGTGTCTATAATGTCACCAACACTTACCTTTTAAAATCGTAATGCAGTAATGCTCACATTACTGCTTGATGGCAGAAATAGGTAAGGTGGCAGTACTTCCCTAGACGAACTCTTTCACAAGGAGCTTTACTGCTATTTTGAAGTTTTTATTGAATGTCACGTTTTACTATCATGATATACAATTATTTTTTGTCAAATTATATCACTAGTTTATTATAATTATTAATACAAACATCGAACACTGGAGCTCTACTGCTACCAAAAGTTTCATACTATAATAAAAAGTTCTCTACCTTACTCATTCAAGAGGCTCAAGCTACCCAAGTAACCATCATAGTAATACAACCAGTAAAAATTGTAGAAAAACCCATTGACTTACAAATAAATGGACGACGGGTCTAATACAAAAACCACGAAAAAAATGTCCCAAGTCAACCTATTCGAAATTTAAATTGTAATGTCATCGCAGTATCGCGCTGTCAGTCGAACAAAGGAAGACTAAAGCGGAGTTTGGCGCTCTGTATACGATTTTAGCGCCTTACAAGTGCGGACACTTTTTAGCGCGGACCCGACGTCCATATAATTGTAAGTCAATGGAAAAACCGATTAAAAGTGCATAGGGTTATGAAATTAATCAAGACAAAGCAGACAGATTTTTTGTAGTGAGAATGTGTTCCTAATACTTGGTTTTATATTTCTGTTTGTAAATTTTACTATAGGTGGTATTCGAAACTACCCCTAAAAGCTGCAGTTCTATAGTGTGATGCCAAAAGTACACATGATCTCATGTGTACAGATGTCTCCTAGTAAGATAAGGAAAAACTGTTAAATATCACGAGTTAATATCATGAAATTTCCCTTATACTATTTTTAACATGTGGTATCTTGCATAGATAGCATCTGTTACCAAATGCGTCCCATGTTTATATTGTGTGATTGGTAAAATTATATTATCATGTAATAAAGTACCTTACAGGACAATAAATGGGAACAGTAAATCAGTTTCATTACAATAATTCATTGACATATTTAGGTTGTATTTGTGAATCACTACAATCATTTGATTTTGGAAATTAATCTAATATCCTGCAACAAGGTATCCTTGACTATAATATTATACATAGATAAAAATAAAAAGTACCTGGTTTTGTACTACTCTTGCTCTTAGTTCCAGTCTTAAACACCTTAGGGCTAACATCTCTCCCATTAGCATTGCTATCTTGTCTCTCATCACGTGCTCTTCGTCTGGTCTTCCTGGGTTTATGACGGAGCTCCTTAGCTGTACCATTGTTGTTTTCCAGATCATTCTCCTCAATTTCTAACTCACCGCTTAGTGTTACTACTTCTTCTTTGTTGTATTCTTTTAGGTAATCATCAACCTGGAATGTGAAAAAATAGTAATACATTTTATTAACAAATTAAGAGCATGTTAAACAAGACTACAAAGCATACTAACTACTACTTCTATCCCTAGTTTTTTATTTTGGTGGCCTCAGTAGACTTCTAATTAGCAGTGATGTAGTGATGAACGGCTAAACAGGCCCTGTATAAGCCATGCTTATAATAATAATGTCTTTTTCATCATTGGAAAAAGAAAATAAAAACAGTATGTATGCATACAATGTTTTTAATACATAACGATTTGTAGGTTTGATTTCTATACCCACAATATTTCAGGTATAATCCATTGATTCGGTTAATAATTTGTATTTAGAATATAATATAAAAAAAAACTCAAATTCAGATGGATCTATGACTCAGTTTGCCTTTGCCCATATTCTGCCATAGCCCGTAATAAGAAATACGCATCCCAGTACTGCTTGTCCAATAGATATTGTGAGCATTTTCATTTGAATGTTGATAACAATTGATAAATGCCTCTCTTACAAGAGGGGACAGCACATTTTCTAGAAATGCATTGGTCTTAGACTTCTAGACTTCCTCCTTTTGACTTCATGATGGACACCTTCCCTCATACAGGCTCTATCATCTAATAAAAAGATGGAATTTGATGGAATGTGGCCATTATGTGCCACATATTATATATACACATATTATAGCCATAAGAAGCCAATTTCAATTAGGGGATGTTTGGCAGGTTGGGGAGTTAAATATTGTGTTAGGTGACCCATTGGCGAAGAGCGCCAAAACACTGTACCGTACGTGAGGCACTGCCTCTCACTATGAGGCGACATGATAAAGTATTAGTAAATAATCCACAGGGATTGCCACCACAAGGCCGACATTGACACCCAAGTGTTACTTTTTTTTACGTTCTTACTGTGTTATTAAACAAAACAAAATCTATTTTAAAATAAATTGAATAGTAAAATTAACCCGTTATACATCCACATACAATTGTTAGAGGTGAACAATTTCCCTAACAATTTTGATACCACATATGTTGAACGCGCAATTGTGTATTCTTCTACCATTTAAACTAATTTAAAAAAATATATAAATACTACAAAAATTGTAATGGCACAGGACTGTAAAAGTTGGCACAATAAAGAAGATGTCTATATCCAGCAGCGGGTTTAATGTTGGCTGACCATAATGACGATGATAATCATTACAGTCACACGTACATCAATAGGACAGATGAGCGGTTGATAATAAGGTCACTAAATTACTTTTGGACAGTGGGACTATATTAAATATTCAGTGTTTTCAGCAAAACATTGTGTTGGTTTGGCAACCTTACCTTCTCCAGTGCACTTAGACTGGACCCAGGAATTTCAAAATCATGCAGATCTCTGTCTCTATGCCTAGAAGAATGCCGTTTCTTTTTCCTATAAGATGGACTCCGTTTCTCCTTATGACCACTTGAAGGTCGTGACAATGTTTTCATCAATTTCTCATCCAAATGGTTTGGATCGTGTGAATAGAAAACAAACGAAGGATTCTTATCCGATTTCTTTATTTCCTTCTCCACGAAACCTATTATACCTTGCTTTATTTGTTCGTGAATTGGAAGTTCCGTGTCTAAGGACTCGTGTTCGGAATTTATCCAATTGTCTCTTATTTTAGACTTATCCGAGGCTTGGTCTTCATTTTTGGGAGCTACTTCTGTAATCTCCTTATCGGCGGTATGTCCGTTAGACAGTTTTCTAGACCCAGAGCGGCTCCGGGAACGTGACTTATTTCTACTATTTTTGTGCTTCGGAGATGGTGACCGCGCTGTTGTGTGTACTTCAGCTATCTCCTCTATCGCATCCACGCTTTTCCCCGGCTTCATCATTTGAGAAAATCAGTAATTTACTTAAAATAACGCTAAAGTTAGCAGCAGCACTTGAGTTTACTTGACAGAACACTACACTTTGACTTGAAAATTCTACATGGCCGTGAACTATACAAAAAACAAAATATTTAACCACAATGTCTTTATCACACGTTGAATAGGTTCTAAAGAGTTTTTAATTCATTTTCTAAATTCTAAAACAAAGACCTTTGAAATGTCAAATGTCACGACAGTTCTCATCTCATGACGTCATACTTGACGTCACTGCATAAAAATGAATCCTAACGTTCCGTTTCACGAACAAATTCTAAAGAAGTAAATTTTGGTGCAAAAGTTTATAATATTGCTGTAGGTATTCTTATTCATCTTCGTATTCAATCATTTTAAATACTTATTATATATGACATTGTTATTATCAAATTTACTTTAGGATTTATTTCGTTTTGTTTAAATCTGTAAAGAAGTAAATATCAACGAACTCGATATTATACATTTTGAGATTGCTTTTCGTAATTTTATTTCTAGAGCACTTAATTCAATATATTGCATAAAATTTGGACCTTTCTGTCACTGTAGCTGAAGGTAGGTATGTATTTAGTTTGGCTGTTTTTTTAAATATTTTTTAAATTTTCAATTTCATTTTTTCAACTAGGTACCTATATTTAATTTCATCGACTAAGGAAAAAAGATACAGTAAAGTGAAATGAGTTTATTAGCACCGATTTAATTCACAGCGAATGAGTTTTAAATGTTGTAAATTTTTGATTGCCGGTATTAGTAGGTATGGCAGTAAAACCCATTGATGAGATGATATCTTATAGTAAACTGAAAATACGTGGAACACCAGTCAGTAAACTGAATGATTATAAGCTCTATGTTCGACCATTTACTTAGACCCACATATTTTGTACATGTTTTGAAATTATAAATGACAAGCTCTATGTGCAATGGCGGAGCCTGGGAGGATTTATGTTCGAAATTTCTATTCTTTAAACATAAGATAATTCAAACAAAAAAGCGCTTTAGAAAATAACATATAATTAATCAAAATACCTACGCATCTCATGAACAATCAATCGTAGCCCTAAGCAACGAACGCGTTATCGGCAAAAATTTGCATTTATCGTGAAGTAACTTTTATTCTGGAAAGTGAAAACAGAGAAATCTGTATCAAAATTGTCAGTTGTCCTTTTTAGATAGACGTTTTGTAGCAAAGCTCGTAAAGCTAGGTGCGCCGGCGCCGCCCAGTCCGTACCAGTTGGCGACTGGAGCTTGATACGAAATTTGGAATGCTGCCGACCTTGTCAACGCCTTAGTTTATGGTGTAAGATAGGAGCGAATAAGAGAATTATAATTAATTAAGTATTATAAATACTTAAAAAGAAAGTGTACGAATTGGGTTATTTCGTCGTAATTGCGTCATTTATCTGAACATAAAATAGAATATTCGCTTATACTTGTCGGTTGTTTGTATCCAACACAAGACACGCTTTTGCGCGGCGCCTAAGACCCTACGCCCCATATGCGTTGCACATCCTACACCATAGTTAATGCCGACACTGTCCCAAGCTGTAATTTAATAAGTGTAAGGATGCTGGTGAAATTCCAGGCACATGGGACTTGTCAACTTATATCTCAGAGCGATGGGCGCAGTGGCAGTGCCCCTCAGATCTTTGCGATTTAAACTCTGTGTCTCTAAATTTCAAAATGTTTGTTCGTGCATTTATAATACTTTGGCAAACAGCGATTAGCACGTTTTCTTGATTTAATTTTATTAGTACCAAAATAATGGTCATAAAAAACTTACTTTACTTACTTAAGTTTATAAATACTCATCATAACTTGGCATTGCGCTGTTATTTACGTGATTTAGCGCTTTTTTTTTACCAAATGATATAAAAAACTAATATACTAAATATGAGAGTCTTGAAAAAACCAGTATTTTTGGCAGTTTGCAATAGGGAACAAATTCTCCTAATCAATACTCAGTGTGTTGTTATAGGCCAGGGTAAGTTCTTCAGGAAGGTGAATAGGATCGCTTAATCTTAATCAAGTTTGACATTTAAGATTTAATTTAAACTCTAATCCGCTTAAAATAAGAACAGTCCAAAGGTCAAAGTGTAAAGTTTGACATGTCCTGACTGCACACCATAGTACTCTACAGCAGAGTCGTTTCAGACATTGTTTTAATTTCTTGCTTGCTCAATAAAGTAATTTCAAATTTTTATTGTTATTTGGATCTACTTTTCCTAATATTTTAAAGGTCTTTGTTAGTTAATAAACATGTTAAGTAAAAACGATAACAGATATATTGCATTGGATATGATTGTATGATCGAACTTTATGCTTGTGATTCGTACCATACAAAGAATAATAGGAAACATTTAAATAATGTTGACGGTATTTGACTTATCGTAAAGTTTTGAATTTCGATGTAAACTTTATGTGCTTGTACCTACATTAACGTGTACATATATCTGTGGCTGTAGTGAAAAAGGGTAAACTTTGCTGAAGACGCGAAAAACACTTAACGCTTAATATTCGAACTTGACTCGTTACTCTCACATGTACTTATAATTGTGGTATGCCAAAGGACTAAATAAATTATGCTGCATCATATGAAAATATAACTTTTGCTCAATCAAAAAATCGATCAATCTTGTAGTTTAAAAGATAATGGCTTGTATCCAAACTGAAAATAAAAAAAAGTGTTAAAAGGTAACTCCAGCTGGACAGGTACATCGACATTCACCAAGTTTTTGTAATTTTATCCTAGGTGGAATAGGGTACGTACGCATCTGGAATGAATTTCATGTAACCACAGACCACCATATAGCTGTTTTATATTATCAATATAAGTATGTGAATGAAATTTTATAGTGTAAAAAGAAATATCTCGACATGAATCAATTTTGTTGGAGCGTAAACATACTCCTTGTTCGAAGCACGATGACTTTAGTAACACGCGCAAAAAATAATTCTCTCATAACTGTCTTCTCCATCAAACTGTACTTTCTGTTTCCTGAATATTTCTACTTCTATATTATATTCGCGTTTACATTGCTAGTTCGTATTATTTCCCACAGGTTATGGGCCGTTTTCTGCCTATTAGCAATCGAATTAATACCGACAAGGAAATTCTGTAGAATAAAAGTACACGAGAAAAATGGCGTCGCAAAATCTTCAAATAGAAAGATTAGTAGGTCGGGAAAATTACGCAATTTGGAAATTTACGGTCAAAACATATCTGGAGCATGAGGAATTGTGGGAATATGTTGATCCGATAAAAAGTGTAACCGATGCCAAGAAAGACGTAAAAGCTAAGTCTAAAATCATTTTAATGGTGGATCCTATAAACTACGTTCTTATTGAACGAAGACTAAGTTTACCCATACGTCAAGTATGGGTAAACTTAGTCTTCGAAAGCATTTCTTTCGAAGACTCCGGGCTGTCAAGGAGAGTTGGCTTATTAAAAGATTTAATTAATACTTCACTGGATAATTAAAATAAATATTATTATTTCCCACAAATTTAAACAAAACAAATTTGGTTCTTCTTTAGGGGTTTAAATGGACTTATCGTCGGGGATAGTGCAAATCCGCGTAGGAAATTTTACAGCAGAGGGAATCAACGCTATGACTTTAATTTTTGCCCAGTAAGCATTCATTTATGTTGTCTATGGACTGATAACAAGAGATTCCTGTAATCACGCTAATTTGGTTGCCAATGTTAGTTACGCGTAATTACACTCCGTTATGCTTTTTTACACATAGTATATGAAAAAGAGCATGTAGGGTAAATACGTACAAAATGACATAGGATTTTATTTTTTAGTTATAATTCTGTAGTGGTAATACACAGCACAGTCATATTTTAAACCAATAGTCTTTGGGTCATTATTTACTGAAAGTAACAAACATTTGTAGAATAAAAACAACAGAAAAAAATTCGTAGTTTAACTGAGATCAATCACAAACAATTTTGTCCCTAAAACAATGGACAAAATGACATACTTACCTACACGTGAAAACTATACAAATACTGACAAAGTTTACAAATAAAACGCTTTGTTCTTCTAGGAAAATCAGAGCAAGAAGCGTGAGCCCAATGCGAACAATTAAACCATCATCGCAACCAGTTTTTCCGGGCTTAGATCGAGAAAAAATATCGTTGCAATATATGCAAGGACAGTCCTCTTCGTTAACTCGAGAGTTGCAAGGGAAATTTTCTTCTTCGCTGTCATCTTCAAACAACTTTGTAGTGACGTTTAGTCTCTTCTTTGCTGGGGAGCTTTGCATTCATTTTTCGATTTAATTTGTCATGAATTTCCCTTATATTGTGAGTAGCAGATAAAACAAAAGAGATCTGCCGAGTCTTTGGTTTATGTTTCCCTTGTCTACTAATGAAATGTCCTTTTGGGGCTGAAGAAAGTTATAATATACTTTATTATAATGAAAATTATAATGAATAAATTAAGTTAATTAAGTTGAACTCCTTTAATAAGCGCTTAAGGACAAAATGGCATACCTATGTCATTGTATCCGATGCGTATACATTATGGCGTTATGTCCACATAACGGATTGAAAAAGGAAATTCAAAAATTAACACACAATTTTCTTTTTAAATCTTATTAGAGGGCAACAACAAACTATTGTGGAATAAAATAAATGCAACAACAATAGGTACAATAGCGAAAAGCTTATCATTTATATAGAAACATTTATCCTAAAGAAAAAACTCGTAACGTACAAAACCCCTGTTTTCAGCGACGACGCTGGGACGGATGAGAGAGGTGAGCTCATGTTTTGACAGGTTCGTAAAAGTCACTTGTCAGTTGTAGAGTCCACCACCAATATGTCATGTAGTACGTATATCCCGTATAACTCAATTTAGATGAGAAATCACAAACAAAACTTGAGTTAATAGAAATTCAACTGAACATGAATCCTATGATATCGGATTTTGTATAATAAATGTACCCTAGTCCACAAGAAAACTTCGTTATTTTAAAAGATATCTTACATCTGCTTATACTAATCGAAGGGTTATTTTTTCTGATATTTTTGGTTTAAAAAACCCAATTTGGCTAAAATCATACTTGTACCCTACTTCATTAGAGCCAAAGATATTTTACTACATATTTATTACATTACAGAACAAAAGTAGGCAAATCCTAGCTAGTATTGGGAATTTCTCCACTTTGCTAAATTTTGAAGAAGCCCTTATAATGACAAAACAAACAAAGAAACCGATGTTTCGATGAACAAAGGGCGTAAATATCAAACTACAAAATTTACGAGATGAGTGATAAATAACCAATTTATAAAGAAAGAAAGAAAGAAAAAAGAAAAATTGTTTGTTCCGTTTACAAATTACGGCACGGTTCCAACATTTCATGATTAAACACAATACAATTAGACAAAACTTCTCACTAAACAATTCAACTAAGTAATTCACCAAAATAAATTAATTTACAAAATTGAAATAATAGAATAAGCACCGTGCTATTCGGAATCCGTCCATCACTCAGTTTATTGTCGTCTCGCTGAAAATGCTACGACGCTGATTTTCAGTGGATCCGGTAACAGCATACATACGGTTATAATTCTAAAACGTTTTAGAGCCATATTCTTTTTATTTTAATAACTATTTTTACATACATTTGGCGAATAATTAAACTATGAGTAGACTTCCAGATCATATGCTCCTTCCCTCTTATGATAGGGAGTCCTTAGAACGAGGCGTGAAGAGATATCTTGTAGGCATACAGCGTGGAAGTGGCTAGGCCAGTGGTTGTACCAACACTGCACTAGATTCCTTCACGTTTGGATTCCACTTTCCATGTAACATCAGTTGGAATGGAGTCATATAATAATCTCAGTACAGAGTACTACAAAAAAAGACCGACCTCAAAAGTCATTAATCCCCTAGTTTCCCTCCCTTAGAGGTGGAATGTTTTCTTCAAATTTAAATGGTACCACTACTGAGGTTCCCTGTTTCCTAAAAAAAATCTTCAAAATCGGTTCACAAATGCCGAAGTTATCGCGTAACATACATATTAAAAAAACGCAGTCGAATTGAGCACTTCTTTCTTTTTTGATGTCGATTAAAAACTGTCACGTAAGTTTAAAGAAAGACACTGAAGGAGCCCTTTTTCCCTGTACCATCGTAATTATTATCAAAATACCTAGGATCAAAAGTGAATGCTCTGGTAAGGTTTAGTTGATTTTACGTTCTTAGCACTGAATGCTGCGACGTTCCGTATGTGTAGAGGGACTCAGCTTATAAGCGTAAATATTTATATAGGTATTTAATGGTTTTCTATTTGGAATACATAAATAAAAATATACTTTCGGATTTAAATCGCGCTATTTGTTGCTGACTGCCGTGGCCTGTAAATGTTGGTTTGTTTGAAAAAACAAATATCTATACGTGATTTAGATCCAAAAAAAAATTGATCCATTTCCAATATACATATAAGAATCGCGAAAACCTAACCCCTCTAGACGTGGCTTTTACAGTGCCTCGGCTGCCATGTACTTAGTCTTGGAAGTTTTTTGTTATGATGCTAAAATTCCGGGACGAATAAACAGTGCGCCGTCCATAACAGTTGTAGCATAGTATTATAAAACTGATTATAGTGTCGCTCAAAGATTTACAGTGATTATAAACGGCAACTTTTAGCAGCAAAGCAAATGCGCGTTCATGAAACAATTGCATCGACGCGAGCGCGCGACTGCATTTGCGCATTTGTATCGATGCAGTCGCGCGCTTGCATCGCTGCTTAAATTCGCGCGTGTGTGTAAGATAGACGATTAGCGACTGCATCGCTACTGCATCGGGTTTGCATCGCTGCTGTCTATCCGCTCTTAAATCGCAAAGATACGACGGGCACTGCCACTGCGCCCGTCATTCTGATACAAAAGTTAAAAAGTGCCATGTGTCTTTAATTTCACCGATACCCTTGCCCTTCTAAGCCGAAACGCAGTAATCATATTACTGCTACAAAATTAAGCGATGGCGGTATAGAGATTTTTCACAAAGCACTAGTGGTACTAAAAATGCTGTCCTTGATGCCGTGTCCTTATTAGTTATTCTGACAGCCTAAATGCTTAGCACTTACGTTACAACGGCAGTAATATATTAGTTTTGTCGAGTTTTATACCACAACATCGATAAGTTAATTAGTTTGTTTTGATCTGCTTAGTTATGTACCTGCTAACAGGCCCTGGGCCATCATGAAAACATTACAATCGTAAAAGTTGAACATCAAGTGTCGTTTGCTTGACTGATACCCCCGCAGTCCGCTCAGACCCCTCTTGAGGCCGTTCTGCCCCTCCTAAAGGCCATCCGTCCCCACTCAGGGACGGGAAAGGCACTTTCACTCGTGGAATTTGGATGCCATGACATCATGTTTACGCAATCTGATGCAACTGTGACTAAAATGCATTTGTCTTGTTCTGTTTTTCAGTTTGCTTGTAGTCAGTAACTTTGCGTATGGGTAAGTTATAGAGATTTGCAATTACGCTACGATAACTATGACAATTAGAATGTTACCTACTCGTGGACACTTATTTAGAGGAACACTAAAAAGGGATGATTTTGTGATAACAACGTCCATATGAACCACTGGCCACAATGACATAATGTATATTAGAACGTTTAATCGAAAATTAAAGACGATTTAAATCATTATTTTTTCAAATAAAACATTTTGGCTTATATACTTATATAGGCCAGTGGTTCTGAACATTGTTATCATAATTCAACTTTTTCGCGTCTCTTCAAATATGTGTCCATGAGTATAGGTGCTCGAAAAACCTAGAGATAGGTAATGGACTTCAGGACTCTATATGCCCACAAAAATATTAAAGTTACTGAAAATAATTTGTTGCACCATCAAGATCATCCTAACCAAGCTTTTGAATATCCTGAAACTTCAAAATCATAAACTATTCGGAAACAAGAAACGTAATTATGATTAAAAAAACTCATCGAGTTCTTAGGTTTTTGCAATTGTTACACAAAGGAAATGAAACTATTTCTTACGGATTTAAATCGCATATGTTTGTTTTTTCAAACAAGCCAACGTTTCGGGCCCTTTACGGGTCCCATGGTCACGGTTGACTGAGGTGGTACAGTATATATATATATGTATAATATTAGACATATCTGGTTGATGACATGAAAAAACTTGGTTTGAAAAAACAAATATACGCGATTTAAATTCGGAAAAATAGTTTCATTTCCTATTAAAGAAACTCTTTAATACGTTAAACCATCAGTTCGAATGTTAACCTAAATTGTCATGGTAAACTTTTAATAGCAGTAGCAATTTCATGAGCGAAAAAACTACAATATCAAATAATGTATTAAAATGAAATAGATTAATAATGCAATCATCAAGTTCCGTTAAATTCGAATAGCTCTAGACATGAGAAAATAATACTGCACATACTTTACGTACCAGACAAAAAATGTATTTAAAGCTTGATAATCAAGGTTGTGATTTAGTTGAAGAGAAAAAAATATATTTCGCGAGTTCAGGCCTGGTTAAACTTACAACGGCGGTGCTACTTTTTTATCTAGAGAACTAAAGCATTAGTATAGATTAGTAGCCGTAGAACTCCTTGTGAATGAGTTCGTCCAGGGAAGTACTGCCACCTCATCTATTTCTGCCGCCAAGCGGTAATGTGTGCATTAGCGCTTTCCAGTTTGAATGGTAAGGGAAGGGGTGAAATTACAGGCACAACAATTTATGTCTCATGATGATGAAGATGATGTAGCTTAGATTACTCAGACAAATCTGAGACTAGCTTAGAAGCTAGGCCTCCCGAAAAAGTTGCATTTAGTAGCTTAGTGCATTTGCAAGATATTTTAGTCGGTATTGTACCCCCTTGGGCCCTTGCAATTCGTAGTTGTTGATCATTTGTTGCATCTATTTTCTTCAGTGAAACTATCAATTGGATATAGTTTTTTGTTTCGTTCATTCATCATTAGCCTAAGTATTGCTGTCTTCTGCTGGACATGACCACTCTTAACCTGCGCCATTTAATAATAATAATAATAACGCTCACACTCAACATAGCCCCGCACTAGGGAAACCCTGTGCCGCGGGTGCCATGGACACACACATAGACAACCACTAATTACACCAAAACTCACGAGAGAAATAAATGTAGGCCATACAAATATTTCTCCCGGCCCGGGAATCGAAACTGGGACCTCTGCATGGTAGTCCGGCATGGTAACCGTTCGGCCACGGAGGCAGTTCATTTTCGTGTTCATTTCGCCACAGCCTGTCGCATCCGTATGTTGCTAGCAGCTTTTCGTAGAACGTCACTCCATATGGCCAGAGGGCGTCCTAAACTACTTGCTGAGCCGTGGTCTTCACTCAAGAACTCATTTCCTACATCGGTTAGCGGTTTTTGACAGATATGGCCAGTCTACTGCCACTTCAGACCAGTCGTTCCCTGTTGGATAACCTCGTTTTGAATCTTATGCTTCAGAGAAACTCCGAATATAGCTCGTTCTATAAAACGCTGAGCGACTCTTCGTTTTTTGTACCATTGCACAAAATATAATTTCTCAATTTAAGTACGAGTATGAACCGTCATATTTTACTTATCATGTCACTAGTTACTAAGTGATAATATCTTACAGAGATGATTAAATTCTTTTGTTTGATAAACAAATGAAAGTCATAATACATGGCCATTTATTTTTTTATTGTATATATTAAAAATTATTCATAAAATCTACATTAGTTTGGTCCAGTAAAGAATAATCATATTAAAGACGCTAAATGCGTCATAATCTTACAATAAAGTATTTAACATTATTAAAAAAAAATCTTATTTTATCCATTCACCGTTTTATGAGTATATTATACAAGTCCGTACGTCGGCGGGTCTTCTAATAAACAAATATTAAATTATGTCCCGAATAAATTCCACGTCTATTTGGCACAAAATTTCCAATTTCATAAAAATCCCAATGCTTTCCAAATTCCGCCTCTTATAAAAATAATATATTATAAGTTAACCATGGCGTAACTCGCCATTATTATGAAACTATAATCTCTTCGATATAATATCAACTTTTACAGATTTATAACAAATCTACTTCTAAACAAAATACCTATAACTTATTAAGTTATTAAATATCATGCATCACTTTTATATAGATTTCTAAAAGTACCATAAAACTACAACAATAAGGCATTATAGGCATTAGGCACTGTACATATATTATATTATTGGTTTTTGCAATTTCTTATTTACAAAATAACTTAATTTTTAAAAGTTCATAGAACGTACTAGAAATATATCATAGATATATGGGATAAACATTACCAGCTTTCGATGAAAACGATTGCCTATGATTTGTATTCAAATATAAATAATTCGATACAATCGTAGTCATCTAGTCGCCGGTAAAAAAAAATCTTAAAGTCTAACGCGAACAGCGATTTCTCGTCCAATAGAATTCCGAAGAAAATTACCTTTCCCGAATTTTATGGAGAGATACGACGCCTAGTAATTCTTAGTCCCTGAACATTACTTGCTCGTTTAGACTAGAAAATTCGGCCGTCACAGACTCTGGAACTGCGTTGCGTTTTGCGTTCATAGCACAAAACTCAACCAGTTAGCTTCTTGTCCGCATTACCGCGGCGCACACGCTTTATTTACAATAAATATTTACACTTATAAACTACATTGCGTCATTGGAATATTTACAGGCAGTAGGGATGGCAGAATTGGTAGACGAGTCTTTGACTCCGCTCTGTCTTCTTCATGATGCCCTTCTTGTAGTATTGCCTGATACTCCGCGATAGCTTATCGTAGTTCATGGCTGGGCGGTTCTTTCTCTTGCCCCACAGCCTGGCGACACGCACGGAATCCTCAATTTTGAATATACCGGTACCTGAGGAAGACACAAATTGAATTAAAGATCAATGCAAATTGAGATATTTCAAAAGCGGTGGACACGTATTTTTTATGGAAACTTTTCTCATTGGATCGTGTTTTTGGTATCGGAGAACAATATAATCGTCTTATACCTTAACTGGTTTGTTGTAACGTTTCTTAGACTAAGATATATGGGAATTCCGATCCTTAAAAGGATGGCGCTAAATGTTGTAGCATAAAGGACTATAATGGCAACAATGCTGGTAGATTTTACCTATCGTCTCATGAACGAGTCACGATCGGAGCTAACCTTTACTTAAAGCGTGGTACAAGTACCAAACCATGCTCGCTGGGTAGGTAAGTGGCTCGCTCACCTTGGGGCGAGAATGTCGCTGGAATGAATTTTCCACTAACAATAATTTTAATAGCGTTAGACCATATTAAAATACCAGACGCAAGACACGATTTTTGAACTGGATTGAACTGGATTTGGATGACAATAATTGAAACTGTTCCACACGTAGTTACGTAAATAATTAAGTTGCCAAATTATTCTATAGTAATCTTTTTGTTTTTGAATTATTGTGACGTATATTGACTTCGGATTCATATTATATCCCAAATTGGCGTTTCATTACAATCGTATACTTTACCAATGAATAATAATTATATAAGTACGAACTGCGTACGTTTAATATGTTCTATTAAGATACAACGCACTCCTACAACAATTGTTCACTACAACTTTTTTTCTCTTATTCAAACACACGATAAACATGTAATCTAGAACCGAATGCAAAAAACCCGTGTGTAGTCACACTTCAATTGTCCAATTCCGTGATCACTTGCAATTATCTTGGACCTATAAATTATTCGCGCAAACACTGCGCCCGCGCCTACAGAGCCAAACAAAGAAACATGTTTCATTGTGGTATTTAAGTATTTTATGTACTTGCGTGATACGGATTATGACCATCTGGTTGGACCAGTTTCAAAAGGATTTTGTGCGCTGGAAGTTTTCCTCATTTGACGAGAAAATGACACAAAAATCAACTAGACGTAAAACCAGTGGTAATTGAATAACTTTATGACAATATCGTCAATGTAATGGGTGAAAACAATAGACGTAGAGTAATTCCTCTGCGTCAATAAAAAAACGATGCAAACTTGGCCACAAAAACATTTACAACTACAGAAGATCGCAACCATTACCACAATAAAATCAGACATAAGAAAATAATAGAAACATCTTCACACAAAATGTATTCAACATATCGTCAAGCTCTATTAGCTAATATAATAAGGTAAACTAGAAACGTGAGTAATAAATTAATGAGAGTGTGATTATTCCTGTATGTTCGCAAAATGGACTTAGAATGTGACGAGTTTCATGTTTTAATTTCCTATTGAGGTTAAGTTTAGTAAGTGTAAAATGTGTGTGAAATAATTTAGTATGTCTTCGTCCAGAACTAAAATTTATTTAGATAAACAAGATATATTTTATATTAACTCGACAAAAAAATATAAGCTTATGTTTTATTGCTCCCAATTCTGTTGTTCTTTCCTATTCACGCATTATATTTCTAAAAAATTTCGCTTGTCTAATGCATCTTTTATTTTTTGAAAGTTAGGTTCTTAGTTGACCTAAGGTGTGAGAGCACCAGTATTGTTGCCAATTTCATTTACAAATTTGTCGATAATATTTGTTGAATCTGTTTATACCTTAAAATAATTATGCTCCATGAATTCACAATTTCTTTTCATTCAAAAAATATATTTATATTACAAATCATATATACTCACTTCTGTCAATCCATCGTATCGCAGAGCCGTGGATTTGTGGTGACGCGAGGAGTTCCTTCAGGAATTGCCACAGGTGTATATGTGTGCTGCCAGATTTAGCTTTTCCTCCCGCTGTGCCGACACTAGGGCCTGCTGATTCTGAGTCTTCATCTGTTGACAAGCAAATATTTGAAGATGAATTGAAATTTCAAACGGATTACGTTTCTTTTTGATTTTTACGAGATAAAAAGTGGACTAATGAACAAATGAGGACGTTCAGACGTGAAACTTCTAAGAACACAGGTTATAAATCCACTAACAAGAGCCAAGCCCTTAAATAAGAAGAATTACTAAAAATTAGTGCCGATAAAGATGATGAAAGAAATTGTACAGAAACTTCAGTAAAATTTAACGATGTAGACCTTTTTAAGAATTCTTATACGATATAAAATAATTAGTTCACCAGAGCCTGTACAAGATCTATCTATGGACATATTTATGATTCGATATTGTATAAAAATGCAGTCGTAAAATAAGGATGAAGCTGTTATAATATTAAATTAATCATTTCACCACAACGATTATTATTAAGAGGTTCTAAAAACCAATAATTGAATTGCTTAAATTATTATACAGCATCATCATGTTGGGTGTAATCGATATGTGGAAATCGTCAAGTGCAGTATGTGACCTTAATACATATTAAGTTGTCATTAACATTATAGCTAAGTATGATCTTCAGCGATTTAGGATCATTAAGGGGTGTATAATAGCCTTCTAGGTGGAAAGGGGGACAATGTAGTAGCCGAGACGTGGACACGTTCCATCGTTTCTTGGAAACGTATCGTTGTGAATAATAGTTTCTTTGAAGCTGTCTAGACAAGTCTATCTAGCAAAGGGGACTATGCTAGAGAGAGCAATTTTGAAAAGTGATTCTTAACATGATGTTGCTCAAGTTTGTTTTTAGATGTTATTATATATAGCTAAAAAAATGTCTCGTAAAGAATAATTATTTTAACGTATTTATTTTTTCTTCACTCATTTTTACGGACTAACAATGAATTCACTATCTTTTTTATCGTCTGACTCTTAATTAAAAGTAACAAACCGACAGCTACTAATATTACTTTGAAAAAGAATGGTGCCTTGTAATAAATGCCATTATGTATTTGATTCAGTTATCATTCACCTAATCATATTTCTGTTGTGAAATTCTTCTCAAAATGGATACCAATAAATTACAAAGACATAATTTACCTTGACGATCTACTAAGTGAATTAATGAAATTGATCCTTTAAGATAACACTATTTTTTTTATCAAAAACTATTTTTTTTTTATCTGTAATTAAAAATCCGACCATAGAGCTGTAATTTATTTTTCAGAATTACATTACAATATCTTGTTACAACTTTACATCATGCGACCTCTCTTTGACGAGTAAACATGTAGATAAGTAAACGATAATGTAAATAATTTGTTTTTTTTTGTTTTTTACAAATGCTGTAACCGACGACTTATATTTGATATAATAATACTTGTGAAATTTGTAAACTGTATTAATTAATGTCATTTCTTTTGACATAAGTATCTGAATTGAAAATAGGAAATCAAAATATCAATCACATTTAGTGAATCAATATGAGAAACTTTTTTCATCATTTTATCATTTTTTTATTTCAAATTGAAACAATCAACATATATCTCTATGCATAGACGACCTTGCGATTCCGGTGATACAAGTCATTTGGAACTAGGTCGTTGGAACCTACAAAAACTTGCTACGACGTATAAGGACTACAGTCCAGGCCACATCATGTATGGTGCTGACTATAGGACAGATTGATTGATGGTCTAACTGTAACGAGATATCAAGAATTGTAATGCAATTAAAAATGTTTCAAATAAAGAAAGAAAGAATTGATGGAATATTCTCGAAAAACAAAAGTAATTAATAAATTTTTAAATGGGAGCAATAATGAAACACAAACGTTTGGATTATTTAAAAAAAGATCGAAAAAATCATTTAATTAAATTATTATTTACAATGTATAATAAAAACTGAATGAATTGAAGGAATTGAAGTAATAAGTTATTCAACCATTGAAAGCTACAATACTGCGACGGTTTTCATTGCCCCTGAACAATTTTAGCCTTTTGTAAATTTGCAAAGGTCAATTTTTAATTAATCTATTATAAAAAAAAAACAAATTTTCGAAGATTTCGTCATATATAACATGAAAAACAAATAATATCCATTAGTAGTTCAGATTTATCTTATACCGATATGTACCTTTATCGATATTAAAATATTTCCACATGACTTTTGATAATTGATAAGCTACAGTTATTTATAACGATGAACCTCAAACCTTTATCAAATACGATTAACAAGATTAGGTTCCCATAAATCGTAGTTGAGATAAAGGACGGGTATCTAAGAGCATGACGTCAGACTTCAGATTAGAAGCAATTTGGAGAAAAATATCAGGTTTCTTTGAAAATAAAAATTATATCGTGCACTTAATGTACTTTGATCAATAATGGTATCAGAACATCTCCTTGTGAGACACCCCTGCCATTAGTAAGGTATAATTCTATTTTGCGTACCTATAAGTTGTAATAACTTTAGCATTTTTGCGGTTTAAAACTTGAGAATGGCTAGTTTTCTTTTCCTGGTTGAAGAAATTCAAGAAATGAGCTTTTCTCGACTATGTTCTAGACAAAACGTTCGATTTAACTGCCTTATTAGTGCTAGAAGCTAAAGTAGATGTGGATTGTCTCGCACACTCACCGGCTGTAGAATAAGACGCCAAAGTTTTATTTACCTTTTTATAATACTGGATAAATGGCGTCCCTGTCTTCCAATAAAAGGCCTTTCAGATATAAATCTCGCGTCTATGCGGCTGCGCAGTGACAACTGTGCAAGAGATAATTGTCGAGAGCTATTTCCTGTGCCACTATCCACTGGCTTTTTACTAACTTAGCGGTTTAACTGGGGTTAAATGATGTTTTATTCTAGAAATAACCAGTTGATAATTTTAATTGATTTTATTTTATTACCTAGGTATGAGTGGTGAAGGCAGGTTGTAAGAGTTTTTCGTTTTATACTTTTTCATTTACCGTAAAGTATTTCACAAAATATTTTTAAACACTGTTATTAATTGCTATCCTACAAATCTTTGGTTAGTATCTAATCAATGTTGTCTTTATTCGTTAAAATTGTTAAGTAGCCTAATCAATTAAGAATATTGCTTACTCGGTAATTGTATACACATTTAATTGAATCCTCAAATCAGCAAATGCATAAAAAATTGAAAACGTTTTTTTTTGTCGTGACTAAAACTACGTTTAATTTACTTATTTGATACTTAACTTGTACATTTTGATATTGTCTGTCTTATTGTCTTGTATATATTGTCTTCATAGTTGTACAGATTTTAACGATAAAAACAATTGAAATTTAATGCCAAGATTTTGGACGGAGGATCATTAAATGTCACTCCCAATCTAATGGAAGCCAAAGCCTCGCTTCTCCATTCTGAGTTCCACCATAAAGAAGCTTTTACATTTGACCATATATCATGGGCTCGTTTTAGCTGTTTGTCTCGAATGTGTGCCGGACTAACGGTGGTCACAATGCATGCGCCTGCGTCGACGGTTGATGCATCGCCGTGCTACATTGCTTTACTATTGAACACTTTTCTCCTTTTCTAAAAACTCACGTCGCCAAATGTGTTATGTGGTTATAATATAGCATAATCCGTATTTTCACTAAAAACGGATTCACAATTTGGCATTATAGTGTAACTTAATGTAAAGAAGGAAACAGCGGTGACAATTTACACACGGCAGTAGCCATAGATTCAGCAGTCATACGGGATGTACAAGAGCACAAAACTGCTCTAATATTAAAAGCAGAGTTAAATAACCTTAGGAGTAGACCTGATAAGTATTATAGCGTTACATCATTGCATAATCCGTAGTTACGCACACCACCACCACTCCTAACTCTGCAGCTATCACATTCTCCTTCGTAAAACAGTTCAATTAAAGAGTGTAAATTAACATTATATTGTTTGATTGTTTGTATGTTCAATTTAAATACTACGGAGAAAGAGCAGTCAATAAAATGTAATGAATAAACTTTTTTAAATATCCAAGTATATTGTAACAGTATCATGCATAAAAACGAAATTGTTTCGTTAACGTATTGAAAAGAAGAGTAATTGGCAACAAAGAAAATTTAATTCTTTTTATTTTAGGTCATAAATAATTATCGGAAAGAAGACTTGCACATTTTTTAACACCGAGAAATAAAAAAAATATGAAGACAATTTATGTGTTGACGTATTTTTTTTATTTACAACATATAAGCTAGGCTTTTGATAACGACTTGATTAGATTAGAGAGTCCAGTAATAATGTTCTGTTTTTTTTTTCAAACCTCGAAACTACTAAAAGACTTCTAGTATGCTACGCATGTAGCTTTCAAACTCAATCCATTAAATAGTTTACGTAAAGCGAGGATATTACGTTTTCAGCAGGATAGAGATCTACGTCTGTACCAAAGTAATTTGAGTTTTAATTTTAGTCAAGCGTTCGATTCATTTAGATTTTCGTATTGATTTGTCAAGTTGAGTGGCAATTTTTAGTTTCAGGTTTTAGACATTTTATCTCTATGCTTATTTTCTTAAATAAACTTCCCGATAAACAAATTTACTTGTTAGTGATTATTTGACGCGGTAAAATTCCACGCATAAGGTAATTATAACACCGGATTCAACAATTCTACATAATATAGTCATAATTTTTAAAACGTTGCCTGTCTCTGCGTTCTGATTTTTGATCGTTATGATTTTTGATTTGTGCTACTGTTGAAGCCAGTGCATACGCACGTTATAATATAATGAAACTCACCGTCACTCATATCATCAGCTGAAGGCAAAGCAGCTGGTGTGGGGTTGGGAGAAGGTTGCTGATGTTCCCATTGGGGTCTCCATGGTTCGTGCCGTGCTGCCTTCCAGATTTCTAGCTGCGCGTACAGCGTGCTACCCGCCTGTAGAAAAGAAAACTCTAAGTAAACAATTTCAATTTTTTCAAAAGCTTTTTCAGGCTATAAATACATGGTGCTAGAACTTCTTCCGGAGGAAGACGGTTCACCGGTAATATTTACTTATTTGCTGTTTATTTGCCTAATGACGGTATATAAATTTTTGCTTTTGCTAATCCCCAAGCTCCTTTGTAAGTGAGGTCGCATTTACATGCTCTAATAATGTCATTGTACAAGACATTAAAAATTTGCATGTGAAATGCATAAGTGCTATTGGTTCATTCCGCAAGAGGGTTTTGCACTCAAAGTCAACTTAGTATATTAAGCCCACAAAGTGATCAGAAATAACCTCTAGTACAATTTCAACCTGTCACCAAACAATAACAAGTTAAAGAACTGTTAGTCAACAAACTGCTATTTGTATTCAGACGCAAGTACAAACGGAACGTGCCGGCTACTTTCATCACGGTGAAAGTCTGGGCACCGGCGCGTACGACTGCAATTACCCCTCCTTTTGAGAGATTAGACGCCTCTTTGACTCTAATCTGGCGATTAGCGTTGCGTAATTTGTTGAGAAGTGCTGTAGTAAGTGACCATTTATCATATAATCAAGTGAAATAAATAAATTAAAATAGGCGTTAATTTCTACTACAATATTAATTAACATTGACATATCGTACTACCTAGTAACGATATCAGTCGCCTCCTTAGCGTAAGCCTCTCCTATTGCCTTCCATAATTATCTTTCCCTAGCTTTGGTCATCCATTACTTTTTATATAAAGTGTCCTCCCATCTTTTCTTAGGCTAACCTTTATACGTTTTATTTCGTTTCTTAGTACACATTTAGTAATTTTCTTGGTCCATTATGATCTAAACTACACACATCCCTGCTCACTTCCATTTCAGACATTGTGTAGTTTTTATTACATTTATTAGTTTCGTTCCTTGTCTGACGGTTCTATATGTATTTTTCTCTCTTTTTTATAGTTGAATCTAGTTAAAGATGTCAAGTAATCGATTTAGTTCAAACAGTTGCAGTAACTGCGATCTTAGTCGATTCCATATAAATAAATTTCTAGTTTTTATTAGGTTCAGTTCATATTGCTTTGCAATTGATAGGAAATTAAATTTCATAAATACGTGTCTTATACTACTATTTTTTCCATGAAAATATAAAAATTTTACTAACATCTATTTTATTAGCGCATTTACATTAGTAATGCATTAAAACGGTAGAGAGGGCAAGAGACTTACAAAAATAATCTAAAGCTAAGTGCAATATTATTACGAGCAAGTGCTGATAATTATTTCAAATGATGATAATTATATCACAAGATTCTCAGTGTTTTATAGGCTAGACAATTGTGGCAAATAACCACAAATGAAAAGATCTGTCTAGATAAGTGAGAATAATTACGACATTTAGCAAGTTAGAAGTATTACCTACATACAAAAAATTATACGCAATAAAAAAATACGCAATAGAAACAGAAGTAATAATTAATTTACGATATTAAGCGAGTAAATAATCTACTTAAAGCTTATAAGGAAAAGTAGTGCAATCGTTACATAAAGATTATAACGCTCTAAACGGATTTCCTTGACGACTTGACCGTAAAGTCAGAACATTTCTCAATCGAGCCTATCAAAATATATTACGCAAAAGTAAAATGAGGTACATTTAGGTAATGATGAAGTAATTGTAAACAATGTAGGTTGCATCAGTTTTGTTGTCCTCCTTTATCGAAATACAGATAAACTTCAAGATCATGTTACAAAAATTAATAACATGCGTATTGACTAATCTTGAAATTAGCCAATAGTAATAACGTTTAAATTAATAACGACAATACCATTGCTATATTAAATAAAATTGCAACTAACAGTAGTCTCAAACATTAACACAAAACTAAGAATAAAGATGAAGATGTAATTACAAAGATGCGTGTTAAACTGAGGTATAATGTTTAGAAATCGGCAAAAGTGGCACGTCGTTGCATCCTATTATGTGTCTTGAAGACGCTTTACAACTTAACGACTTGTCTGTGGTCAAACATAGTGATGTAAACCGAGACAAAAACTTAGGAAGCAATTACCAAAATGATGATGATCTAAGTAGCTCATGGCTTCATTTTTACTAAAGCTGAGATTGAAATCCCTTTCATACAGATATAAATTTTGACAATAATATTTTTTTACTTAATTGAAAATTATCGTTGTGTTGATGGCGGAGTATCAATTATAATATCAATAACATTGATTATCGAATATAATAATCGCTCATTTTCGACTTCTTCGATCTTTCTCACACGTGATTATGAGCATCACACGATAAGGACGACAGTCGACGACGCTTTGTAATTTATTGATGATACTTTAAAACTATTAAAAGTCGTAAATGTCGGGGTATATGATTCGTGAACAGCCTTAATGTTTTTTTATTAAATAACTGCAAACCTATTGCAATGGTAAAATGTAGAATCAATAATGATAACAATAATAACAATACCGTTGGTAGTAATGTGAAATAATTGTACATAGAAACGACAGAGGTCATTGCATTATAGTAGTAGATAGAGTATACATATACTTTGTTACAGTTATCATTCTGAACTTTGTACAACAGACGCCCTCAATCGCTCTCAGGGTCAACAGATTATCGCCCAAATATTCCACAGCAACTCTGTAATAACAGCTCTATCTATGACTTTGAGTCTTATCCTTTCTTATGTTTATTCGATTCCTAATACGAAACTATTTCGACCAAACAGAATATTACAATAATAGGTTTTGGTGTAATTAGCTAATGTTCCTTCAAATGCGTCGTGGTTTAAAGATAATTTATCTTTAGTATTTAACTCCTCTGTATTCGTTTGGAAGTAATCATACCCACAATTTATATAGGAAGAAAATCTCACCTGGGGTGCTCTCTGGTTAAATTCTTCTTCAGTTAAAGCAATAAGAGCAGCTCCGTCCATATTGAAGTACTCCGCTGGTACCAAAGGTAAATTGAAGTGCTGCAGTGTATACATCACCCAGGAGTTGACATTTGCTGGATTCCAGAGCATTGGGTCTGTGACAAAAAAACTTTTGCTGTAGTCTAGATACAAAGGTATACTTACAAAAAGAATATTTTAATTTTCGTTATTGCACTGTTTATTGACGTCGTCTAGATAGAAGCTACCGTCATTAATATAAATAAGACCCTTACGATTATTTGCAAAAAAGACATTTAATGAATAACAAAAAATTTTAAGTTAGAACGTCAGTAGCAACAACGATTACGCAATCTTCCTTTTATTCGCTGTTCTCGGAATCCATTTAATATTATAATCTATGACAGAACCGTCATGATCAGTACGAGGAAACGCTGAGATTTTTTGCGCTCGAGTTCTAATCGATGACGTCATAAATGTTACAGCACTAGAACGCCAAGTGTACAACATTCCCATGTCTTGTCATCACATAGTTGGACATGTACTAATGTGTTGGATATTTATTTATTCATTTATAGGGCATATCAATTATGGATTCTTGTCATGTTGTAGTACTGTTAGTCACCGTATTTGCAATAATAGACATTAACGTTAACTAAAATGTTGTAGACATCTAAGTTTACATCATATACTTGGTTTGCAACTTTGTATAAATACCGCAACAAAGTGAATAATCAACGAAATTGCTGTGTAACAAACAAATGCTAAGTAAATAAATACCTTACTGGTACGTGACTCACCTGGTGAGATTCCCAGAACTGTACAGGTGTTGTCTACATCTCTTTTTGATTGCTCAATGGCCATCGACAACACTCTATCAATGTCTGGAGCCACTAAAGCTTCATCTCCTGTACCATTTGCTCCTCCACTGCTTTCTTCCATTTTCACTGTCCCCAACTCCAAGGGGATAGGTCTAAGATTAAGGCGTTTCTGGAATGTTGTGTCTTCAAGAGCTGAACGTAGCAAAATGTGATCGCGTGGTTCCTCCACCTCGATTTTAGGTGTAATAAAATTCTGCTGTTGTACGCTCTCTTGCAGTATCTGGTTTTCTTTAAGCAACTCTTCAATATCAATGTATTCCTCGTGTTGTGGAACTGGGGAGGAATACTGATTCTGACTACCGTATGAGTTACACGATCCAGAAGGAGACAGTGGGTAAGGCGAGGCAAACCCTGGTACTGTGAGTCTGTTCGGTTCTTCTTTTATGAAGACCGAAGAGTATTGAAAGGAGTTATAAGGGGAGGATGGTTGGAGAGCCACTGTGGAAAGAGATCCTTCGTCTGAGGATGGAGAAGGTGTGGGGTACGCTTCGAAATCGTACAGGCGTTCCAAGAAGGCGTTGTTGTTATCTTCTGGATATGGTGGTGGTGGCTTAATGTATTGAGGAGAGTGCAGCATGGATTCCGGGGGAGAGGCAGCGCCGAAAAGGCGCAGGAGGTGATGTAAATCTGCGGGGGAGCCGGGGACTGCTCGCTCGCCCTGTGAAGCCGACGGCGGGCTGCACCCGGAGCGCGGCACTGTCTGTGGCATCTGGTGACAAAAGAAATCTCATCTTAGCAAATTTTTGTACTTCCCCGCAAATTCAAATCAATATTCTAAAATCTTTCTCAATATTGGATATGACTTCATAAAGATAACAATTTTGGGAATTTTATCAACATCTACATAATTATTTAGACGTGTAGTGCTAAATATTCATTCGCCGCGTGACAAATATTTGATATCAGTGTGATCGCACAACTTTTAGATACGTATGAGAGTGAGGTCATTACCAACGTCACTGTTTCAGTTCACTGACGCTTCGCCAGATGGCCTAACATAACATTCAACTATTTGTTTATTTTACTATCATCAAAGGAAACTAAATTTAGAACTGACTAATTTTAAAGTTTAAAGTTCAAAATTTCGTTAAACGACTGCGATGAACACGACAGGCGATTTATTTCTCAACTGAGTAAGAAATTTACATAATATTAACGATGTGGTGGTAAAGTTACAAGGAACGGTAGTCGTCATATAAACACGTGCAAAAATATTTTACTATAGTCCGGCCTAGTTGTCCTCAATACATATATCTAAATTATAATATAATATTATGTCTAAATGTATAATATAATACAAAAAAACGCGCGAACTAAAGAACAGTTTGCATTAGATAAAAAACGCGTATTTACGGGGTTGAATTCCAATGTTGAATTCAAAGCGAAGAGAAGCTATCTAGAGTATATACACGAGAATAACAAACGCTTCTCATATACAATAGAAAATCAATTTACGTTCAAAATTTAAATGAGGATAATACAAAAATACAATAATACATACACTGAACCTAAGAAGAGACAGACCCATTGTGTATCTGATCACTAACTAAACCTACCTACATACGTAATGTGTAGTTAATAACTACTGCCATTTCCAGTCATGAAAATATTTCAGGTTCGACCGGTTGCTAACTAGCTTGTATGGTTAGTTTTCTTGATTTCTAGGACTTCTATTAAAAAGCTTGCCAAGTACTAACTGTAGAATCTTCAATGGGTTCTGTGCTATCATTAGAAAAAAAAGCTTTCATTGTAGAATTAAAAAAAGAATCCAGTTTCACGTCCATTATTCCTACATTATGTGTTTCATTTTGTATATATTTTGATCTATATTTACTTATTCTTAGTTAACGAATATTTAATGAATACTTTTATTATCTAAACTTACCCGTAAGGGACCCTAAATAAAATAATAGCTATTGATTTCCCACGGCTGTACTTTTTGTCTATTGTTCTTTCAGAGGCGTGAGAATATTTAAATTGTTCCGAGTTGTCTAGAACGTATAGGAGTTATATGTCAAGTAAGTATTTATTGAAGTACTAGGCATTTTAATGAGGCCGTAATAAGGAAGTAATATGACTTAATTACAATATTATATCTGGCTGCTATGGAGCTCAGAGTTAATAGTTATTTCATTTAATATTCTGGACATAGTTTTAAATCTAGTGCACATTTTTTATTACACACTAATATATAATAAATAAAATATAATGTACAATAATTCGTACAATATTTCTCATTTTTATCTAGCAGTACAGTAGCACATAAAGTTTGATTCTTTGGATCGTACTGATCGCAACCGACAAAGAGTAGAATTTAACCCTGTTTTTCGGAATTTTCGGAATTCTTAATCCTGTGCCTACTTCTGAAATTGTTGCCTATTTACGGTGAAACTAAAAAAGTGTTATGCATTTATTTTAGCTTCCTATACTTTGAAAATAAAATATGCTATTGTCGAGTTTATCATATTTATTTTTTCCCTTTATGTACAAATACAAGTACATAATATTCAAGTTGTAATCGACAATGTGCACAGTTGTACCAATAAAAAATCCAACACTTACATGTCACGATTTTTTTAATCCAACCAGCAATTTGATAGAGAATTCGTGCGCGGGCGCATAAATGAATAAATAAATCCACAGTGGCGCCGGTACGCGGAAACGTCTAGGAATTTGGCGATGGTATTAGCATTGTTTTTATAAGTTGATAATGTTACTTTTAGAATTTGATTTGCGTGACATTAGTATTTATACTTTGCACATCAATTTTCATGTTGTCAGATTGCTAAATGAATTAAATACCTCTTCATGTCTTATGTGGGCAAGCAACTGCATTTGAAATCGTCGAAACGGTTCCACATCAAATCACAAGTACTTACCAGGTTGGAAAAGGAATTCGAAACTGTCTTTCATTCAAATATCAATCTTTTGATAACTGTAATAAGATATTCTTGCCCGCAGCGAATTAAACTCATGTTATTTAGTATTCTATTAATACTTAGTCATGAATTACAATTTTTCAATTTCATGTTAACAGGTGACTATCATTAACAACAACGAAACGATAAAATACGACATTAAAAAGAAACAAATAAATACAAGAATCCGTATGTATCTTCAACAGTAATTCAACAAAGATGGCTGTCAAGATAAACCAGACAAAACTGAAGTTCCACCTACAAAGGCTGAGATTATTGAGGAAGTTTTTTTTAATTGGTCAAAAAATAATGACGTCACTTCATTGTGCTGTAGTAGAGTATGCGCGTGACCATTGCAGTCTCCTGTTACATTTTAAAAGACCTTGGGGTTTTCACGATTTGGGGTCGCTCAACCGTTCGGATCTAGATAAATCGTTGATAATTTTGTCAAACATTTGATATACTTACATAACGAAATGGCGGATCTATTTAAAGCTGTTTAGGCCTTGTTTTGGTTCAAGTCATGCGCCTGGTGGTAAGCGTCTTCGTACAGAAATTTGTTTCGAATAATTCAAATATAAAGTAAACTACTCTGGTACACAGATGACTGAATCCGATAAACTTTATTGCCCATTAGCTTTGTCTTTATCTTTTTATGTTTGGCAAGGTTGCGTAAGGTTAGAATTATTTTTTAAGTTAGGATTAACAACTGGAATTTGACTCTTAAAGAGTAGATTAGTGGTGTTTTTACCATATATATATAAAAAACACTGTTGATTGCGATATAAAAAAGAACATGATAAAAATAAAACATTGACATTATAGTACTGTATGATCAAACTTCATCTGCTGTTTAATAAAGTGTGTTCTACAGGGAGAGGTTTTTGGGCCATACCTTGACGATATAACAAGAATGACGTTACCAATTGTTGCTACATACATAACGTTGTAAGTGCCGATTTGTAAAATTACATTGCCTCTCACACTCATTAAAAACTCAGAAACAAGTTTTAAGTGTTGTTAATATTCTGGGTTTTCCCAAATTGACAGATCTACTGACAATCAATCAAACTACTATTAATATTTTATTGCTTTTTTTATTGTCAAAATAGGATTGACATTTAACTTATGATTGATTGGTCACATTATTTGTGAGGTTTTTATTTGTAAAGCGGTTTAAAACTCGAGAGTTACAATGCAATAAGTACTTAAGTAACGTTAGTCCTTACACGCTAACCAATGTCTAAACTACGTGTTCAATATTGGCGGCAGTTATCTTGGCAATTACAACTTATGCAGTATAAAGCAAAAGCAAATGGAAGCGCCACCATTGAATACAGAGTTAGTATTAAACGCCACCGCCATGGAAGGCACCGTGTCTGTACATTCTAGAACATAGCACCTGATCAAATTACAGGCACATGGGACTTGTCAACTTATTTCTCAAGGTGGCGGGCCCAGTCGCAGTGCCCCTCAGATCTTTGTAATATAAAGCTCTAAGTCGCACTGTGATTGTTATGGACAGTCGTGTAGCTTACCAACAGGTGCACGACTTGTTCGTCCCGTCACTTGATATTATAAAAAAAACCTGCTTCCTCAAATGAGAAGAATAACTACCAAGGGTAGAAGGGGCCTTAGTATTGGCAGTTGGGTACAACCACTAAAGAATAATGTACTCGTAAGACTATTGGAGTGTATAAGACAAACCCGAAGGCGATTTTTACTGGACCTTATCCATAGACTAATCCTAAGCCACATCTTACCTAATGGTTAACTGATCAACTCACTTGATACTGCCATTCCTCCATTATTCAAAAGTCACTAAACTTAACACTCACACAAGGCAATGTCAAAGCCCAAAGCCGGGTTGATGGACCTTTGACATATAGTTCATTTCAAACTTTTGAGGTTAGAATTCGCCGGCCGGTAAGACGCGCTCTATTGGAAGATTTATACTATTAAGGTATTTTATACTTATTGATTTTCGTATTTCGAACTGTGATTCTAAAGTTTAAAGGTTTAGTGCTTAGTTCACATTGTTTTTATTTTTTGTATTGTCAAAGTGCGTGTGCGCGGCGAGTAGATCACAGAGCCACTGAGCTCGACGCCGGCACACGGAGGCTTTGCCTCAATGAACTTACGTCACGACGGGAAGTACGCTTCTAAACTAATATAAAATCTAATAGAACCTCGGAAACTACTTTACGTTTTACACACACGTTAAAATGCACTTAAATAATGCTATTATGACGTTGGTTACAAATAGAGTAATGTAAATTTCCAGTACTAAGTACAAGTTAATTAGAAATGAATTAAGATCCGCCTATGTTTTGGAGCTTGTGACCTTGTTGAAACTTTCAAAATTATACGTACTAAATGTAACAACCTGATATGAACATAGCACGTTCTTTACATACAAACTTTTTACTTACCTACTGTATTTCTTAATTTAAATTTGCCACCGTTGTTGCTTTATAAACGCGCTTGATTTTGATTGGTTGTGGAATTAATGACGTAATGTTCAACCTGCGCTTGCGACTCTAGTACTTCATTCATACTCTAATAATAGTGTTTGCCGCCAACACGCAAAGGTGTGCACGTATACATTATATACACTCACACATGCTTTAGCACGTGGGAAAATGCCAATGTCGTGATTTAATTGTTTACATATACATATACACAACCAGAATAAAGAAATAATGATCTATAGATAGTTACAGATTATTTTAACCCGTAACGATTGTAATCACTGTGTTCCGGTTATGGGGGTTGTCAGCTTACGTTTCAA